CAGAGCCTGTGCTGCTGGGATGGCTCAGCCGCTTGGAGAGATGGAGGGGAGTGTTCCATCCCCTCCCGGGGGTCCGAGTGGCCCCATCCGTGCTTCCTTTCCTCAGGGGGACACTCACAGTCCTGCCTGACGCTGCCGACTCCCTCCAAACCTCACCTGCAACCCGGCTCAGAGCAGACACATCTCTGAGGGCTCCTGTCAGCTGCGGGTCACCTTTGCCAAGAGAGCCCGTCCCTCTTGAAGGGAGCTTTTAAGCAAGAAATCGTTTCCGATGAGTTTGTGCCTCTGCCTGGGCAAGCCGTTCTCCCGGCACCGCGGGGCCACACGCGCCCTAGTGCTCTGTTTTGCATAGCTGTTTTTAGGGTTATTTTTTTTTCTCCCAAGCTGTTAAAATACGAAATGCCACCACCGACAGAACGAGAAATCGTCCCCTGCGTGCCGACTGGGTGCATTCCCTCAGAAGGCCGTCCGGCCCCGCGGGGAGGCAGTGCGTCAGGGAAATGGCCAGGGAAGATGGCGGCTTTCCTCACAGCGCCCGTGGGAAGCGAGTACTGAGAGACAAGGGCTCTGGAGAGGGGATGCTCGTAGATCTTATGCTTAAAGGGAATAAACTCCAGCAGAATTAACAGCTATCAGCAAACTGCATCTCAGCAGGGAAGCTGGAGTGTGATCCCAGAGGACGAAGCAGGCACCTGCCACAAAGGAGCTTTTCCGAAGGCTGAAAACTGAACCCTGAGCGGACTGTGGATGTTCTCCACAAGCTTTGCACACAGAGGGCTTTGCCATACACAGCTGCAGGCCATTTAGAAGCAAAATCAGGTCCTGGCTCATTTCCTGTGGGGCCAGCAAAGTACCTGCACCTGAGTGTGGGTGGTTGTAGGACCTCACCCCGAGGGTGCCATACTGCTCTGTCGTGGTGCAAGAGCCACCTGAAGGTCTGAGGCGGGTGTGAGGTTCCAGCACTGCTGCGATGCTGATGTGGACGTCACTGGGTGAGTCCTGTGCTTTCTGTTTGAATTGTTTAATTGTTTTTTTCAGCCGGGAACTCCCAGCCCCACGTGGGACTCGCCTCAGTGAGGCGACTGCACGCTCCCCTGGGAGCACCACTGCAGTGCACCACTTCTGTTGTGACACAGTAATGGCTCCTTTTCAGTTGGTTTAAATTTACATATCTGGTTTTTTGCTTTTGGGAAAAGCATCCAATTAATGCTCTTGTGTTCTTGGACAACATTAAAATCTAAGTTTGGGTATTTTTGCAATGTCTGCTGAGGCAAGGGTGCTCCCTCTGAGCACCTCCATAGATCCAGCCATTTCTGGAAGGATCTTGAAAGCTTTCTTGAAAACGCTCAAGTAACTTGCAGGCAAGTCTCATCTTTGCCCAGATCCCCCATGGTGTAAATGTAAAAATCTCC